TGGGAAAGGGACCACCAAAGGGTGACCAAGCTGGGCATGAGGCTGGGCACACAACCTGCAAGGAACATTTATGGGAGCTGGGCTGGTTTTGTCTGGTGAAGAGAATGCCGATCTAATAGCAGCCCACAACTACTTGAAGGGCGGTTTTGCCGCCAGTGGAGCCAGATTCTTTGCTCCTCTGGCCTCAGCAATGGACCAGGTCCTGCTTCCTGGGGTGAGCAGTTTTATCACTCGGTGCTCTGATTTCTTCTCCTGCATGTGCTGCTCAGTTGGAGGATCTCTGTATGCTGCCCTGCTGTCCCGGGGGACCACTCTGAAGGGGAAACCTGCTGGGCAGGATCACCTCTGAATTTGAACTCGGGGAGGTGGAGATGGGGCTCACAAAGAGGACCCTCAGTGCAGGGGACCACATGTCCAGCCTAAGTCATCCTGACTTCAGGTCCTGGGTGGCTGACGTAGAAAAACCTCTGCTATGGGAAAGAATGGTCTTCCTGCGGAGCGCCTGCTGGCTGTGGGGAAGCGAGGGCTGTTTGGGGAAGGGGATGGGCTGGTTTCGATCAGTGTGCGAAATGAAGCAGCAGTTCTCAGGGCCCCACTGTGGCTGGCCTGTCCCTCCCCTCGCAGGCAGGGAGCAGAGGGGAGCAGGAGGAAGTGAAAATGTTCCACCCATTTATTCAGCTCAGTGCCTTGGCTGTGTTGGGGATGACACAGCCTGATGGGTTTGCTGTCTTTTCCTCCAACAGCTGCTCTGTTGTTCCTAGAGGCACCCCAAACAGTTCTGCTACATGTGCTTCTGGGTAGCTGCAAAGTAGCAACCCCCTTCACCCATCCCCTGATGAAATCGGGCTCAAGGCTAAGCCTACCAGGAGAGGATAGGAGGCATCGTGGGCCCCAGGGCAGAGCTGCTCAGCCCCTTGGCCTGTGGTGAGTTATCTTGTCTCTGCCTCTCCTTGCTCCCCTTTCCAGGCAGCTTTTCCCCATCCCTGAAGAGATGTTGCTTCGTCCTTGGCTCTGACTCGCTGTGGCCAAGCCCTGCCTCTTTGCTGCTGGAGCAGCCTGGAGACCTGCTCATAGAAGCCAGTGGGCTTTTGAGTTGACCATGATTGCTGTCCATACATGCTCATTGTATCTGTGTCCAGGGCTTGGACACCTCCATGACCCCTTTTATTTTTCCAGACTTCCCATGGGGATTTGCACACGGGGTCCTCAGCTGCCCTTACACAGACACGCTCTGCAGCTGGGGTATCAGCATCCCCTTGGGCGTGATTCCCTACATCACTCACCTGCCCTGGAAATTGGGTACTGCTGGACCAGCAGTGCTCAGAAGCATCCCAGAAACGTGTCCATGAGCAGAGCTCTGGGGAGCTGTTCTGCTCGGTGTTATCACATATCCCTGGGAGGAAGCCTCAGCAAAGAGCAGATAGGCTTTGATATCTCTTGGTATCTTCTCTGACCACAGTCAGCTTGTTACATGGCTGCTGAGCTGTCCAGTTTAGGTCACTGTATGTTTCTGGTTCCTGAAGTGACCTTTTATTTTTAGATATTTTTCTATGACTGATTTTCAAACTAAGTCCTTCTGTTCCCTTAGAACCATAGAATCATTTAGGTTGGAAAAGACCTTTAAGATCATCAAGCCCAACCGTTACCCTAACCCTGCCATCCCACCACTAAACCCTGTCCCTAAGCACCTCATCTGTCCGGCTTTTAAATACCCCCAGGGACGGGGACTTGACCACTTCCCTGGGCAGCCCCTTCCAGTGCCTGACAGCCCTTTCTATGAAGAAATTTTTCCTAATGTCCAACCTAAACCTCCTTTGTTTCAACTTGAGGCCATTTCCCCTTGTCCTATCATCTGTTACCGGGGAGCAGAGGCTGACCCCCACCTTGCTACAGCCTCCTGTCAGGCAGTTTTAGGGGGCGATAAGGTCTCCCCTCAACCTCCTCTTCTCCAGGCTGAACAACCCCAGTTCCCTCAGCTGCTCCTCACAAGACTTGTGCTCCAGACTCCTCACCAGCTTTGTTGTTCTCCTCTGGACATGCTCCAGCAAGCTCCAGCTCCTTGTCCCCCTCCCATTTTCCCCAGACTGGTAGCAGAGCACAGGTATGCAGGGGTGGCTGCAGCCAGGCTCTTTGTTTTGAACTAGACCAGCACATCAGCTGGGGCAGCCCTTGTTCTCTTCCTGCAGCTGCAAACACAGGTCTCAGCCGTACCAAACTCCACACCCTGGTTTGCCAGGGATGCCCACGTCAACCAGTTGCATGTTCCTGCAGAGAGGCCCTGGAGCCGGTCTTGCCTCTGGGGTTTCAGACTGTCTAGACATGTGGCTGGTTCTTCAGGGACTTTTTGGAAAAGGAGGAATAGATACTTGGTGTGCAGAGACCTTTGCTGTTGGCTGTTTAACTTAACCCTGTGATTTCCAGAGCAATGCATCTGTTCAGCTCCTCCCTGGACTCTGCCTTAGAGCAGAAAAACACCCCCACAGGGACAAGCTCTGCAGGTTTGGGGGCTTCTCTCTACTATATCGAGAGTTTCCTGACCACCTCCTATGGTTAGTCTGGTCCTGCCCTTCAGGGATTCCTGATACTTATAAAATAAAATACACTTTCTTCCCAGCTATTGGTACAAAGGATATTTCTCCCAGGTGCTGTGTACCATTTCTGTTCCATGATGGCAAAGCTGATGGCACCTCAACTGCTTCCAACCACTTTAGTTTCATTCCACGTGGGCTTGTGTGTCGCTGCCCAGGGGTAAATCTTGCAGTGTCTCATCAGCACGGGCTCAGCATCTGTATGCCTTCTGCAGGGGTGCTGAGCCTGCCTGAGACAGCCTGGCCTGCTGGGGACAGCCTCCATGGGGGCTGATACAGGGCAGTTCCCATATCTTTTCTCTTATATCCTCAGTCGTGTTCTTTGCTCTTGAATGTGCAACACCACACCTGTGCTCTTGCTGTGCACAGGGCAAACCACATGCTGGGCTGAGACCAGATCGTGGCTCACAGATCAAGGGAAGCTCTCCCAGCTGCCAGCCTGCACTGGGAGTAGTGGACACAGTGTTGATCCCCGAGTTCAAGAAGAGGGATGTGGGAAAGGGACCACCAAAGGGTGACCAAGCTGGGCATGAGGCTGGGCACACAACCTGCAAGGAACATTTATGGGAGCTGGGCTGGTTTTGTCTGGTGAAGAGAATGCCGATCTAATAGCAGCCCACAACTACTTGAAGGGCGGTTTTGCCGCCAGTGGAGCCAGATTCTTCCCAGCAATGGCAGACAAGATAGCGAGGGCCACGTATAGAGCTTCAGAGATGCAGGCTGGGCATTAGGAAAGCATTTCTCTGGGAGGATGGAGCAGCCCTTTGACAGGTTGCCAGAGATGTGGGAGGTCTCCATCCTTGTAGGTTGTAAAGACTTTGACACACCTGACTTGCTCTGGTGTCAAGGATAGCCCAGCTCCATGTGTCATTTTGCCATGCAGTCCTCCAGACATCCCTGCTGCTGTGACACTGCATGGCATGCCGAAATTGTCTTGTGCAGGAGGAATCTCAGTGTTCCAGCACTCTGTCCCTCAGACTGCTTTGTCCTGTACTGATAACAGGAAACACCAATTCCTGGTAAGTGCAGCAGACTTCAACAGCTTGAGTCAAAGCAGAGACACCTCTTTTTCTGCATCATCTACTTAAAAATACCTTTCTCCAAGTTTAATTTCTACATTTAAGTCCACTCCTGTTCCTTGCTTGCAGCTTCAGTTTGATTCAAAGGGCAAGTTGAAGGAAAACCCTTACAGAGATGAAGCTTGTCAGGAGCAGCAGCTCTAAGGAATCACCATTTCCACCTTGGCAGCCTGTGAGTCTGGCAGCCATGGGGACTGTGCTCAGCTGCTCTGGTGAAGGACAGAGCCTGTCTCTGCAGGAGAGCAAGACAGGTGCTGCTGCCTGTCCTGGAGCAGTGGGAATTTGGCTCTGCCTTTCCCACAGCTGATGCTGCCGCAGTGGCATGCAGTCCAGATGCACTGACTCCCCTTGCCTCTGCATGCTGAACACAGCCAGGGCTAGATGCACGGGCATTTGTGCTGGGGGCAAGCGTGGTCAAAAAGTCCAGAGGTGAGCAGGTTGGAGATGCCTGTGTGTTTGTAAGGGGTGAGGGCTGTCTGGACACAGCCCCTCACTTTCTCTGGCATGGTCCACCCAGAGCTGCCCTGTGCTCCATGGCACCATTGCTCTGTGGCCCCAGCCACAGAGGGTCAGGGTGGGCTGGTACACAGGAGATGTGCAATGGGGACAGCCTGGGTAGGACAGGCTGGAGCATTGGTCCAGAGGAGGACTACAAAAATGATCCAAAGGCTGGAGCCCCTCTCCCATGAGGCCAGGCTGAGAGAGTTGGGGTTGTTCAGCCTGGAGAAGAGAAGGCTGCGGGGAGACCTGATTGCAGCCTTTCAAGTACTTAAAGGGGGCCTGTAGGAAAAATGGGGACAATCTTTTTAGTAGGGCCGGCTGTGACGGGACAAGGGGTAATGGTTTTAAACTAAAACCGCGTAGGTTTAGACTGGATCTAAGGAAGAAAGTCTTTACCACAAGGGTGGTGAAACACTGGAACAGGTTGCCCAGAGAGGTGGTGGAGGCCCCATCCCTGGAAACATTCAAGGCCAGGTTGGATGGGGCTCTGAGCAACTTGATCTGTTTTAAGGTGTCCCTGCTCCCTGCAGCAGGGTTGGACCTCTAAAGGTCCCTTCCAACCCAAAGCATTCTGTGATGCTATGGCAGAGCTGGGGTTCCATGCCTTCATCCACTCTCAGCACCGGCAGCACCACCAGGGCCAGGACTGGGGGACACCCAAGCCGTGACTGGTGATGGGGGTGAGGAAGAGGATTTTCCCAGCAGCACAGTGGTCAGTCAGTGCAGCCTGGAGAGCTGCAGCAGCATGGGTCTATGGCCAAAGAGGGAACTTACCACTGCTAGAAGCAGAAGTGAAAGGCAGGCAGAAGTGAAAGCAGAGTCTAGAGTTGCTTCCCATGCGGTGCCCCTCTCTGCAGAGTGCCCCAGAGCACCCAGCAGCACGGCCATGGAGCCCCTCTCCTTCCAGGAATACATCTGCTCCTTGGACCCTGCCACCCTGCCCCGCATCCTCAGGATTTGCTCCGGTGTCTACTTCCAAGGTGAGTGTGTTGGGTGCCTGCTGCCTCCAAAGGGTGCCCCGAGGCTGTGCCGCCTACCCGCTGCAACCAGGGTTCTCCCCTCATGCCCTGAAGGTGGCTGGTCCCCTGCCACCAGGGTGCCCATGCCCAGGGAGTGGCACAGGTTCTCATGCCACCGTCAGACACTGGTGCCTGAGGCACAGCTTCTCACAAAAAACTTTCTCTTCTACACCCAGTGCCTGCCCCGCTGAGTGCCCCAGAGCATTCGGTCACGCTGCTAGGGAAGCGGTGGGGCACCAAAACCCCTCCAGGCTGGTCCTCCACTTCATGCACAGCTCTCATCCGGGGCAGTGAATTGCCTGCTGGCAGAGGATCTGGCAGGCACAGAGCCACACGCTCGGTGGCTGGAGGAAGGCGGGATGGCATTGCCCCCAGCCCTGGCATGAGGAGTCCAGCAAGGGCTCAGAGAGCAACCTGGGCTGAGCTCTCTGCTTCATCCTGGGCCATGTCCCTGGAGACGTTTTAGGTTGAGGGGAAGCCTTGACCTTCCTCAGCTGGTGGCGAAACAGAAACAGAAATCAGGAAATGCTTTTGCTGTATTTGTGGGGCTCCCAAAAATGCTGGGAATGCACAGTAGGCTGGAAACACCATTGTGGCAATTACCACCAAGGCTTGTAGGATTTGTAGCATTTGTTTAGGTTACACTGACTTTCAAAAAGCAGGAGAAGTGGTGGGGGTGGTCTCGCTCTGCTTCTCTCTAGCTGGGTTGGAGTGGACGTTCAGCTTTCCCAGGGGCTTCTGGTGACCTTGGTAACACAGCACTGCTCAATGTTTCAACACCAGCAGTCAGTTTGGCAGTTGCTGGTAGTTGTGGTGAGGTAGCTGGTGCTTTCTGTTTCGCATAGCAGGGGCTTTGTCATGTTCATCCCAGGGAGGGGAGAAGTTTGGAGCTGCATAGAAGGTTTGGTAGCAGCTCAAAGAATGCAGAGTTTTAAGGGCGGAAGGGGGCATCGCTTGTATTGGAGGGCATCATGATGTGGTAGCACAGCCTGAGGATCTCCTGCTCCAGGGAAGGCTCCAGCTTCAGGAAAGGCACATCTGCCCCGTCCCTTTGCAGTGTGATCAAGCACTGAATCTTTCCTGCTGCATTTCTCATCTGAGTTACACTGGTTCAGCCTCCAGCCGTTCCCGTTGTGCTCTTCTGCACTGCTTTTCTCCCCTGTTTATGACCCCTGTGCAGTTACCAGCACTGGAAGCTTTCCAGGACATGGGCTGCACAAACTTCCAGGTATTCCTGATGCCTTAGAAATAAGAGCATCAGCCCACCAAAGACCCCTCAGCTAACCTCCTGGTTGTGTGTTCCCTTGGCTTCTGGTGAATGGTGCTGGACCTTACAGAGTGCCCTCGGGATCAGCCAGTGTTGTACCCTGCAGATGTGCCATCCTGCACTGATGATACTTCTGCAACACTTATGGATTTCCTGCCATTACTGAAGACCTTACTACTTCTGGCTTTTTGTTAGCAGAAATTTGGGTAGTTCCCCAAGATGTTAAACAAAACTGCTGCTGGTCTCGGCCCCTTCCGTGCATTCCTCGCCTCCTCTGCATTCTTGATTCTGCTTTGTGTTGCAAAACAGCTCTGGCTTGGTGCTGCGGTTGAGCTGAAGAGCGCGCTGGGGCCCTGCGCAGGGCATCCGCAGCCACGTCTGTCTGTGTGCCTTGCTGCCAGCCAGGGGGCCAGCCATGCCACGTGTGCGTGGAGGTAACCAGCTCTCTGCTCCCAGGGTGTGAGGCATCTCTGTGCGCTGGGCAGTGCAGCCTAGCTGTGGGTTTCCTCTTTTCAGACCGTGCCCTCGATGCTGCCACAGGGCACGGGGGGGGCCAGGGAAGGGAGGCTTACACAACTTGCAATACTTTCTGAAACTTCCTAGCTCTCATCCATCTCTTCCTGTGGTTTATTTTTTCATATTTATTTCCGCTTTGAGGTTCGCCCCCTTCCTGGGGGCAGGCACTGCTCCGGCCAGTCCCACCCCACTGCTCCCACCCGCACTCCCCAGGCAAACAGTGGCCAGTGGTGCAGCAGTGCCCACAGCAGCATCCATCCCCCTGCACTCGGGCACCAATACCCAGTATGAGGACAATGGGTCTGGTGGTGTGTCCAACCTTGGCTCCGTCTGTCCTGCCCAGGCCTGCTGGGGTGCTGCATGTGCTGGGGCCCTAAACCAAGATGTTCCCACTGTGGCCAAAGGCACCAGCTCGTCCTGCACGCTGGCTGAATCTGTGCCAGCCCCATCTCTGCCCACCACTGAGCCTGCTCTGCCCTTCCCCAAATAGCTGCCCTCCTTCCCCCCCACCCTCCACCCTCATCCCATGGCCCCTTCTGCAGTGCCATGGGTCAGGGGTCCCCTTGGCCCCACCACAGCCACAGGCACTGGGGGGCCCTTGGGGACATCCATGCACATTTGAGTGCTGGGACACCCAGGCTTGGCTCACATCCCACAAAGCCTGCAGCCAGGGCCAGGCCATGGGTCAGTCCCCTCCCTGCTGCCCCAGGACCTCATCACAGCTGGCCAAGCAGAGGGGCCCCCGCTGTGTAACTGGTATTTGTTAATGGCACATAGCATGACTACCTGTGATGGGAATCACTAAATCATGGAGGTTGGCAGGGACCTCTAGAGATCCTCCAGGCCAACCCCCAGCTCAAGCAGGGTCAGCAGGAGCTGATTGCTCAGAATTTATCCAGCTGGGGTTTGAATATCTCCAATGAGGGAGACTCCACAACATCTCTGGGCAACCTGTCCCTGTGCTTGACCACCATCACAGAAAAAAAAGCTTTCTTACATTCAGAGGAAGTTTCATGTGTTCCAGTTTGTGCCCATGGCCTGTGGTCCTGGCACTGGGCACCATCAAGAAGAGCCTGGCTTTGCATCCTGTTTTCAGGTATTTATATACATTGATGGGATCCCCCCTGAGCCTTGTCTTCTCCAGGCTCAACACTCCCAGCTCTCTCAGCCTTTCCTTACGTGAGAGATGCTCCAGTCCTTTAATCATCTCTGTGGTCCGTTGTTGGACTCTCTCCAGTACGTCCATGTCTCTCTTGTACTGGGGAGCCCAGCACTGGACACAGCACTCCAGAGAGGCCTCACCAGTACTGAGCAGAGTGGCAGGATCCTTTCCCTCGACATGCTGGCCATACTTTGCCTAATGCAGCCCAGGACAGCATTGGCCTTCTTTGCAGCAAGGGCACGTTGCTGGCTCATGTTCAAGCTGGTGTCCACCAGGACCCCCAGGGTCTTTTCTACCAAGCTGCTTTCCAGCCGGGTGGCCCCCAGTGTGTGCTGGTGCATGGAGTTGTTCCTTTCCAGGGGCAGGACTTTGCACTTCTCCTTGTTGAATTGCAAGAGGTTCCTGTCAGCCCATCCTTCTAGCCTGCCAAGGTCCCTCTGGATGGCGACACAACCCTCAGGCCTATCAGCAACCCTTCCCAGTTTTGTGTCTTCTGTAAACTTGCGGAGGGTGCGCTCTGCCCCATCATCCAGATCATTAATGAAGTTGTTAAACAGGATCGGACCCAGTGTTGATCCCTGGGGCACACTGCTAGTGACTGGCCTCTAACTAGACTTGGTGCCACTGATCACCACCCTCCAGGCCCGGCCGTTCAGCCAGGTTTCAGTCCACCTCAGTGTCTGCTCATCCAGCCCATTCTTTATCAGCTTCTCTAATGAGGATGTGATGGGAGATAGTGCCAACAGCCTTACTGAAGTCAGGGTAAACAATAGCCACTGCTCCCCCCTTGTCCACCAAGCCAGCCACCCCACTGTAGAAAATGCTCAGGTTGGATAAGCATGATTTCCCCATACTGACTAAGCCTTTTTGTCCTTCATGTGTCCGGTAACGGTTTCCAGAATTATCTGCTCCATCGCCTTCCCAGGGCTTGAGGGGAGTGTGACTGGCCTGCAGGTCTCTTCTTGCCTGTCTTGAAGCTAGGATTGACATTTGCTTTTTCTCCCACTCTTCAGGAACCCCTCTTGATTGCCCATGACCTCTCAAAGATAACAGAGAGTGGCCGCACAGAGTCAGCACTCATGAATGCATCCCAGCAGGCCCCACAGGCTGTCTGTCTTTTTAGTGCTCCCTTGCCTGGTCCTCCTCCACAAATGATAGGTCTTCCTTGCTCCAGACTTTCCCCCTGGTCTCAAGGGGATTCCTGAAGGCTGGTCATACCTGTAAAGACTGAGGCCAAGAAGGCATTGAGCACATCAGCCTTCACTGTGTCCTCTGCCGCCACGTCCCCTGCCCCAATCAGCAGCAGATCCGCATTTTACCCAGTCTGCCTTTTGTTGTTGATGTACTTGTAGAAACCTTTCTTGCTGCCCTTCACATTCCTTGACAGATTGAGCTCTGGGCAGGCTTTGGCTTTCCTGACACCATCCCTGCATGCTAGACCATGTCTCTGTGCTCCTCCTGGGCCACCTACCCCTGCTGCCACCACTCATGCACCTCCTTCATATGTTTGAGTTCGATCAGGAGCTCCCAAGTGTTGGACAGGAGCACAAACCACCTGCAGGTATTCTGAGGAAGCACTAAAGGACAGTGGTGTGACACTGGCACAGGTTGCCCAGAGAAGTTGTGGATGCCCCATCACTGGAAGCGTTCAAGGTCAGGTTGGATAGGGGTTTGAGCAACCTGAGCCAGTGAAAGATGCCCCTGCAGGGGACATGTCCACAGCAGGGGGTTTGGACCAGATGATCTGTGAAGGTCCTTTCCAACCCAAACCATTCTGTGACTATGTGAAATGTTGGTAGAAGCATTTTCTTTGAGGAAATCTCCCTCCTCACCCTGCAGGGTCAGTGTACGAGATCTCAGGCAATGAATGCTGCTTGTCAACGGGCGACCTGCTGAAAGTCATGGCCGTGGCACTGCAGAAGGTCATTTGTGAGAACACAGAGACAGGGCAGACAACGGAGCTGCCACCGACATTTAAGGGTGAGCAGGGTTGCCCAGTCCTAGCCCAAACCCAACAAATGCCCTCCTCCCAGGGGAGACATTTGCAGCCCCCGTGGGCTCAGCCTCATTGTCCCACAGGTCTTTCCCAGCCTGCCCCAGGCCCGGGCCCGCCCCCGACACTGCGGGGACCAGTCAGGGAAGGCTGCAGGCAGCAGGGCCTGACGCTGCACCAGGCACTGGGGTGGTGGGGCAGGCAGCCACAGCCCCTGCTGTGCCCCACCATCAGCCCCTCTGCCCTACTCCTGCATCCTGTCTATGAGGTGCACGCTGCCATGCACTGTGAGTCCAGACAGGGGTCAGGGTGCTGCATGGTCGGGGCAGGGCGCTGCATGGTCGGGGCAGAGTGCTGTGGGGTCGGGGCAGGGCGCTGCATGGTCGGGGCAGAGTGCTGTGGGGTCGGGGCAGGGCGCTGCATGGTCGGGGCAGAGTGCTGTGGGGTCGGGGCAGGGCGCTGCATGGTCGGGGCAGAGTGCTGTGGGGTCGGGGCAGGGCGCTGCATGGTCGGGGCAGAGTGCTGTGGGGTCGGGGCAGGGCGCTGCATGGTCGGGGCAGAGTGCTGTGGGGTCGGGGCAGGGCGCTGCATGGTCGGGGCAGAGTGCTGTGGGGTCGGGGCAGGGCGCTGCATGGTCGGGGCAGAGTGCTGTGGGGTCGGGGCAGGGCGCTGCATGGTCGGGGCAGAGTGCTGTGGGGTCGGGGCAGGGCGCTGTGGGGTCAGGGTTGGGGGGCGAGGCTATGGGGTGAGGGCACAGATGCTGTGGTGTTGGGATGGAGGTGCTGCAGGGTTGGGGGCTTACACGAGTGTGGTGCAAGGGACCTCGATGCACATAGTGTGGGTGGCTGCAGGTGGGGGGGTGGCAGGGTGGGGGTCCCCTCCCAGGTGGGGCTGGGGAGA